GGCCGGGGCAGAGATGGGGACCAGTGCCATTTCCCTGGCTCCATGCTGCTTTGTCACCTTGTTTCCAAAAGCACAACAGCTTAAACTAGAAGTCTTGCCAAGTCTCTCACCTAAGCAGCACCTTTAGCTTCTCTCCTTTCATCCTCAACATTTGGAGGCACCTAGACTCCAGCAAAGCTTCCACCCTTCCCTCAGCAACAAGCCTCAGTCCCAGCTCTGATCATCCCTGACCGGGAGAGCATTTTTTCTGGTTGAGCTCCACCCGCTCCACCTTCCCCCGAAAAGAAAGGCAGTAAGACTCAGAGATCAACACTCGCTTAAACACAGCAGTATATATTTCCAAACTGGAATGGTTCAACATCTGCATTCAGGTTAAGGGTGATTTCACAGCTTACCCCAGGAAAATGGGTAGATATGGCCTTCGTATACAGCTTTGTAACCAAGGGCTTGTCTTATAATTTTGCTCAAAGAAACAGTATTTTCTGAAGGGAATACTAAACATTTACCTTGGAAGACATTAGACAACATGTAATTTTTGTGAGTCCCCACCCTGCTCCTCCTGTTCCCTCGTTTGAAGGTTTCAGAAATTTCAGGGTCTTATATCAGCCAGGGCACCCTATTAAACAACTTTGAAGTGAAATCTAACCAAGTGGAGTTGAAAATGTTTTTGAAAGGATGAAGACATCTTGTCCTACCTCTGACCAGTTAAATTCAGGCTTCTGGCCCAGAAACCATGCAGAGGCTGCCTCCTCAAACCTGTGTACCTATTCTAGGCATCACTGTCTCTGCGGAGCCCCACTCTCTCTAGACTCCCTGACTCTTCAGTCTCTGGCTTTTGCCTCTCAGTTATGGAGCCCACTCAGACTTCTCTCCACCTTACTGGACTTGTTTTCCTGCTCAACTCAGAGTCCACAGCTCCTCTGCTCAGGGACCACCTTAAATAAAAAGTGTGGCCAATGAAGAAGTTCCAGCGGACCTTTTCCTCAGCCTTGGCTTCAGAGCCCCACCATCCAGGCTGACCCCTGGCCCACCTGCCAGAGGGTAGGGATTCAACAGGGCCTGGCTACACCCTATGAGTCTCTTAATTCCTGTTGATTGCCAGGCCATACAAACATCTCCATCACATACAAATTTCCAGCCTCTGGGAAGAGCAAGTCTTTCAAAAAGCCTATCTGATCATGTCATTTCTCCTTTTCTCTTAAAACCTTTCAATGGCTTCCTGTTATTCTTAAATAAAGTCCAAAATTCTTAACAAGACCTACAAGGTTTTGTGGGGTTTGGCCCCTGCCTGCCTCCCTGGCCTCATATATACCACTTCCCCTCCTCTCACTTACACCCCAGCCCACCTTGGCTTTTTCTTTCCCTCCAGGCCAGGGTGAATTTAACAACTTGGCACATACAATGGCACATACAGTCTAACAGCAGCCTGTACAATGAATGGCTATGGTGCAGTAGCTGCAGGATTATGGGGAGGCGGGGTCTTCCAGGCAGCCAGGCTTGTGAGTCACTTGGAAGGGCTCTGGACAGCAGTTGTTTACTGACAAACCACGTGTAAGTCTTTCACTGTTGTAACAAAAGGGATAGTTGTCTTGAAGGGTGTGACTCCCACCATGGACTTGTGCATGTGCTAAATTTCCTCGGCAAAGGAATTTGGAGTGAACAAGGGCCTTCTATTACCTAAAAGGGACCAGAGAATTCCTGGATTGCCCCAGGCTTCACTTAGGAAGCATCCCCATTGTCTGACATAGAATACATAATACATGTCAAATGAATAAGTTCGATAAACTTTACAAGCATAGTAGGAAACCAAAATTAACATTGCTATTTTCTGATTATATGCCTTACTCAATGTGTCCCTAACATGCTATATATCACAACTTGTAAAGATGTAGCAAAAATAGTACATTGTGAAACTTGCGCTTAAAGTCGGACCTCTAATAGATAACCCACAGCACAACCACTCAAGGAGTCAGCTTTAAGCAGCCTTTACAAGTCTGAAATTCAGTTTAGTGATTCTAGTTCTAGCTATTCTCAAAGTGGTGTTTCTACAAATGTGTTCTGTGTAATACCAGATCTATAAAATGCTCCTTGAAGAAAAGTTTGCGATCAAATAAAGGTCCTGAGAAGTCCTGCAGCAAATAGAGAAATGCTATTAAAGCATTTTCTAACCTTATTTAACTAAAGAATCCTTTTTCTCCCTGGAATATGAATTACTATCTAATGCAGCATACTTTTAGAAATACCACCTTCAACTAATCTCCAGAAAAATTCATGCAGGTATTTTATTTGGAAGAAGTGACATTTCACGTTAAGGTCATACTTTCAGGGCCAGCCCCAGTGGCCTAGTAGTTAAGTTCTGTGCACTCCATTTCCACAGCCTGGGTTCAGTTCCCTGGTGTGGACCTATACCATTCGTCAGTGGCCATGTGGTGGTGGCCCACATACAAAATAGAGGAAGACTAGAGACAGGTGTTAGCTGAGGGTGAATCTTCCTCAGCGAAAAAATCTTATTTTCAGAGCTCAGGGGTGGGGAGAGTACAACCCAAATACCTAAGACTGAAGAATTATCCTTCTACATCTGGAAAGGTCCTCCTCAAACAGAATTGCAACTTCAGGAGAGGCTGCCTGGAGCATTAGATAAGTGACATTCTTTGCATACAACTTACTAACCTATTCACATAAAACCAATCAGCAGACGTCTAGTAAGTATCCACTAAGTGCCAAAAAATGCCAGGCACCGAGAATACTACATTAAAAGGTAGTTGTGTCTTTAGTGAACATAGAGCCTCATGAGGGGAGACAAATACGTAAATAGGTTATTCCAATATAACATGGAAAGTGCTAATGGGAAGTTCTGGGGACCACATGGGCACAAAGGAGAAGCTATTGTTAGCCCAGCCTGGGAATGTGGAAAAGCCTCTGGAGGAGAAGCTTTCCAACAAAGAGGGCCCAAGGAAGCAGGGACAGTGGAGAATTAGGGATAAAATGCTTGATATTTTTTGAGTATCTGCTTAGTCCTAAATATTCATGTGGATACCGCACAATGATTTCATTGAATCCTAACAACAACCTTGTCGAGTTGAAGGCTCAGAGAAATTCAGTAATTTGCCCAAGATCACACGGATAATCAGCAATGACAGTAGTATTTGAACCACTATTTTTTCTGATTTTAAAGCTATGTTTTTTCTGCAGTGCCTGCCTTTAGAAAGAAAATAGAATTTGGCAGTTTGCTTATATCTGAGACTGTCCACACTCTAAATCCAGTTAGTGAGAAAAACAAGATGCCTGAAATAATAGAAGATTTACAAGGAGACATGTGAACCACCACAGGAAGCATTGTACACACAGAATCTAAGATTCAGGTGACTTAGAAGCAACATCTAGATCCTGTGAAGCTTCTGTCAAGGACAATGACTGTGTCTTATTCATCTCTTCATCCTATTGATTAACATAGAACCTAGCTACTAAGCAAATTTTTTTAAAGTTTATTTTATTGAGGTATAATCAACATATAACATTGTTTTAGTTTCAAATGTACAACGTAATGGTTCAATATTTGTATATATTATGAAATAATCACCACAATAAGTCTAGTTACCATCCATCATCATACAAAGTTACAGAATATTTTTCTTGTGAGAACTTTTAAGATCTACTCTTTTAGCAACTTTCAAATATGCAATACAATATTAACTATAGTAGCCATACTGTACATTACATCCCTTGACTAATTTATTTTATAACTGGAAGTTTGTACCTTTGACTCCGTTCACTCATTTAAGCAAATGTTGAATGAATGAATGAATGAATGAATGACTCGTCCTTGCCCACTTCTCTGAAGGCAGCTGGGAATCCTAGGGCTCCTGTCAGATGTATTACCTGGACCCTTGGCCCAAAGGGCCCCTTCTGTCCCGAAAACTCAGAATGTCTTAAAGCTTTTAGCTTTCTGGCCAACAAAATATGTTTTCCAAATCAGACGGATCCTTTCCTAATTGACTAATAGGAATTCTCATAGGTCAGGAAAATGTTAAAGCTATATTCCACTACATACTAAATGCTAAATACATGATGTTTGTTTAAAATTTATTTATAATATGTGCTCTTCTTCCAAAAAGGTGTTTAGGTGATTAAGAGTTCCTATATAAGCCTCAAAAGGTGAACTAACCCTTGATCCTGAGCCTTCTCCACGTAAGCATTGAAAATGAGCTGTGACAGCTGACCCCTGATCTAAAGGAATCTTTGCAGAGATCTCAAGTTGTAAGGAAGGCGTGATCCTCGACTGAAAGTGGACTGACTTTTAGTTCTAATTTGTTTTTGCCTCAGACTAACCTGTTTTGCTAGCTAATCTCTAATAACCCTTACATTTGCATCACCATTTCTATGTACAAAGAGCCTTACTGTGGACATTATCTCTTTTGATCCTCACAGCATCCATTCAGGACAGGTAGGAAATCCTTTTGCCATTTTATACAGTAGGAAATGAAAGAGTTCCCTGATTGTCTAACTCAGAGCCAGTTAGTTAGACTCCAGGCATAGGCCTCCTTCTATCACAACCAGCTTCCTTACCTGTAATGCTAACTACTCTAAGAATGTGCCTGATGGGAGCTGGATAGTGAGTTTACCTGCCAGAGTTCTGGCCTCCAGACAAGAGACATCAGCTCTGGGTGACTTAAATGGAAAAGAAATTTATTGGAAAAATAACAGATAGCTCACTGGTTCTTCAGGAAGGCTGAGAAACCAGGCTCAGAACGGAGGAAGAAATCCTGCTAAAGGACAGTCTGTTAAGAATGCTGCTCCAGGGTGCCAGCCCCGTGGCCGAGTGGTTAAGTTCGTGCCCTCCCCTTCGGTGACCCAGGGTTTTGCCAGTTCAGATCCTGGGTGTGGACCTAGCACCACTCATCAAGCCATGCTGAGGCAGTGTCCCACATAGCACAACCAGATGGACCTACAACTAGAATATACAACTATGTACTGGGGGCCTTTGGGGAGAAGAAGAAGAAGAAAAAGATTGGCAACAGGTATTAGCTCAGGTGTCAATCTTTAAAAAAAAAGAAAAAGAATGCTGCTCCTGGCTCCTAGGGCCATCATTGCTGGCCACTTATGGCTGAGCCATACTGCTGGAGGCACTGTGGAAAACTTTTTCTCTCCACATACCTTACATCTTAGTGTGGGAATTCTAATTTCCTCGCAGGAACATATGCTTGGCTTGTCCATGCTGTAGCAACCTAGTGGGAAAAGGGACTATCTGCCCCCCTCCACCTTCTCTAATGGGGTGTAAGGCTGTGCCTTCTTCTATCTAGGATAGCCACAAAATAAGAAGGGTATCTGGACACTGAGCGGCTAAATGGTAAATGTCCATCAGAGATCACTGGGCTCACTGAGTTCTATCTGAGGAATTTTTTGGATCTCATATCTTGAGAATTACAATTGCTTTTTAAACAATAGACATTATTTCTGAGGAGCAGCCTTCCCTGGGAGGGCCTTAGGCCTGCATTTGGGCAGCTGGCAGGGCCTTCCCTCGCTGCTCACTCAAGCCTGTCAACAGGAGATTCAGGCAAGGACAAGATGTCAACCGTTCCAATGTCTCTGGACCATGAAGACTTCATTTCTAATGGTGATGATTTTCTGTTTCCAGTACTTTGGGTCCCAAAGTAATTAAAGATGTCTTTCTGAAGGGAAGGGATTTACAAACCAATATACCTTGTCTTGAAAAGTCTGTGTAACTCTATTAAATAGCTACAGACACTTTCTAACTAATGAATAAATGAATCATCAGTTCTTTTGAGGTGAATCCACATTTTGGTCTTTAAGAGAGATGAGGAGAAAGTCACATGAGGCATGGTCTCCAGTTCTATTATTTTTACTTTCTTTGGGAAAGAAACAAAATCAGAAAATTATAGAGAAAATATATAAGGAAAATATATGTAGAAAAATATATAGAAAATATATTGTCCTATCTTAGATAAGACATTGCACCAGGGGTTAGAGATAGAGTGGCAAATACAATAGGCATTGTCCTTACCCTCATGGAGTTTGCAAATTTGAGTTCTGAGTGTGCTACCAAAGGGGAGCTACAGGTGCTGGGGAGCACACACAGGGGGACCTGACACAGACCGAGGGACCAGAAAGATGTACCTGAAGAAGTGATGTCTTAGGCTTGAAATCTTCTTGTATAAAGGATAGCCAGGCCAGGGCAAAAGTGAAGCAGGAGATCAGCCTGTCTGGTGGCCCAGAACCCAGGGAAAGCACACCGTGTGTGAGGTGATTAGGATAGAGAGGGAGACAGAATTTGGGGAGAGGTGAGATTAGCAAGAAAGGAGGCGCCTCATGCACCTTCTAAGGCCTTAAAAGGGAATGGAGAAGAAAGGAGAGAAGGAACTTGTGGAACTTGAAGAAAGAACTTGAAGAAGCCTTACCTTAGGGGAAGGGAAAAGTTTAAAGGTTTTGTTCCAAATGTTTCCCTGAAATGCTCAGATAAATTTTTTAAAGGTGTCTGTGCCATCTGCGATCCAACATATTGCCTCAGTTTTCCAGTTTAAATGTTGTTTGAGAGACAAAACCAAACCAAAAAGCTTACAAGAGAAGGACTGAAGTATGGATCAGTGGATAGGTATCGTAAGGGGAGCACTTTTTTATCAGAAGAACCTCTTTCTATGCTGCATATCTGCTGTCCTTTTGGAATGTCAGGACCCACTTACACATCAGTAATACAGTAAAAAAGAAAATATTCCCTTCCTCAGTCCCCAGGCCCATGTTATTATTTTCTGCTCCAGAAGAAATTATCTTCAGGGAATTTTTTCATTGGAAACATCCGCTGTTTTGTCCTGAGGGCCCTAAAAGACGAGACAAGCCACTGAGAAGGCCAATACCACGGTCTGACTCTTCAGTTCGAACCGTATTTACCAGGTTACATGCAAAATGCTGAGGTATTATCAATCTAATGGTGTAGCATGATAACAAGGATAATCATCCATTGTTTCCGAATAGTACCTTCTGATTTACAGAGCAATTTTATGTTTCAATTCGCAAAGCAACCTTGAGATAGGCAGGGATGCACCATTATTATAATTGCCGTGGAGAAACCAAGCCACAGAGAAGTTAAATAGTGCATCCAAAGTGATAAAATTAAATATAAACCTGGATGTTTAATTTCTCTTTTCTTATATGTTTTTCCAGTTATTTTCATATACTCTGTCATATGAACCATATCAATAAAGATATGAATCTTTATTGCAAGATACAATAAATAGCACATTGCAACTGAGGTTATTTCCTAAGAATCCACAAGATGGCAGTAAAAGATCTTTGCATAGAACTGGGTACCCCACAGTGGCCTGCTTGCTGAGGTTTTTTATGTTGATTGTATTTGATTACAGTATTAAAACTTGTTATCATAATGCTAGACGTTTAAAATATAATTCAAGAAATGAAAAGTGAACTAAAATCTGAAAGTAGAATTCATGGCTTCATTGCTTTTTTTTTTTTTTTTAATATTGTGAGAGTCCCATGTTTACAAGTTTTGAACAAAGCACTAATAATCAGCTATGATCCCTAAGAGCCAAGGTTGCTGGAGAAAGTTCAAAATGAGAAATGCTGTTCGTTCCCGAACATGGACTGATCGATGATTCTCTTCCTTGAAGGAAAGAAAGTGAGGAGTCTGTGAGGGGCCAATAGTTAATCTTCCATATAATTTAATTGCTTGTTATTTCTCTGTTCCAAATCTACCCTGGAGGGAAGCTTTCTCCACGGACTGCTGGAAATGATGCTGTGATACAAACTACAAACGCATTTATTGCCTCTGTCCTTCATACTTTGTGTGCAACATAAGCTGCACGAAACTATGGCTATTTTTTCATGTATTTTTATCACTCTACTGACATATTTACGATAGAATTAAAGAGGCTACATGTTTCTTTCGTTTCTTTGATCTGCCCCCATGTTCAGCATACACAGACATGAGTCAGATGCCCTGGAATTGCAAACATCACAGAAAAACACATTCTTTCTGTATCTAACCTAAGTCTAACCTAAAAGTAATTGTGTTCATTAGCATCTCCTTTGTGTGTAGTAGACAGTACTTAAGACTCAAAAAGATGGCAGGGGTTTACATCAAACATAAAAATATTTAAATTGAGCATCAGTTATTTCTCTCTGGTTTCAAAGTCCTTTGGGCACCCTCGCATGCTGCCCAGATTTCTCTCTTTCCCTCTTTTCTAAAATCTCTTCTCTAATCTCTTACTACCTTCAAGTTCATGGTCATTTTTTTATGAAAAAGAGTACAACTATCATTTTTGCTTGCTCATAAGAAACTGTCATTTCACTTCAGGTGGCTCACCATTGTGTTTTCTAAACTCACTTTCTTCCCTGAGGAAAATTCTGATTCAAGCTGTTAAAGTAATTTATCTTTCATTCCTTTACTAACATCTACTTAAAACTTTTATTAGGAAATAAGAGATCCCACTCTGTTCGTTTATCCACCCATCTCTGTCTACAACAAACTTGATAGGAGCTTTCAGTGCCCACATTACCTTGCTGTACAGGATGTAGTGAATACTAAGCTATATAGCATGTCCTCAAGCTGCTTGTAGTCTAGGAGAAGAAATGAATCGGTCCACACAGAGTTATGCCATAAGAAAATTCCAGAGAGGCAAAGGAGTTCCTTAAAAAGAGGCAAACCCTGACCTGGTGATCTGGGGAGGATTCATGGCCTACTAATGGGAAGACCCTCCCAGATCCTCCCCACAAGTCTAAGATAAACTATCTTTTCATCAGACCACAAAGGAAGAGCATGATGTCCAATGCAGAGGGGAAAAGCCAGGGTTGCTCAAGAATTCTGATCAGTCCAAGTCAACAACACATGACATATAGGAGACTCATCAGGGCCCTGAATCCTAGGCTGAGCCATCTGAGTACTCCACTCTGGTAGGAAAAGCAAAGAGTTCCCAGGTGCAGCCACTCAGTGCAACCTGAGCACATGCCTGACCCCCTCACTTCTCTGTAAAGTGAAAGGATGCAATCTTATGACTTCTAAAGTGCTTCCAGCTCCTACGTTCTAGGAATGTATGTGTTTGAGAGAACTTTGGATGATAAAAAGGAGGCACTGAAGGTTTTTTTAGCTATTAATCTATGACTAATAACTAAAGATTTCCCTTTTAATAAGTTTTAAAAAGAGAAATAATATTGAAAGCATGCATTCATACTTTGTCAGGGTCCATTGGTTATCATTTAACCATCAGCACAAAGTCTAAATTCCTAAAATATAGCTTTTAACTTGTCCAACCTCATCTCTAAAACTCCCTCCTTTGTCCATTATCTAAACATGTTTAACATTGTATTCTCTCCTTCAAACACTGTCCCCATCCCACTCCCTTCTCCTGAATAATTCTTCTATTCACCCTTCAGATAGCAGATTACTTGTTATACTCTCTGAATGCCTTCTCTTACAGAGTCCCACGCCACCCTCCCAACACCCGCAGAAATGCCTCCAGGTTAGGTATCCCTCTTAATGCACTTATGTACACAGTACTTTATCACAACAACATTTACCATGCTAATTTGTAATGACATATTTAATACTCCATTTTCCTTACTAGATTGTAAGCCAGAACAATGTCTGTCTTGTTTGCCTGACACATGATAGATATCCTATAAATATTTAATGAGTGAATAAATAAAATTAGATTATTATTTTAAGTCAGTAGATTCCGAGGGAAGACCTAGTAAAATAACGCATTACAGTATACGTCCGTATTGTGCAGGGCGCAGCGTTAGGTACGGTCCCTGTAGGTTGACTCTTGAAGGGTTACCAACTGACAGGCATGTGTGTAACCTAACAGTATTTGAAGAATGTTTGTAAGACTTTGCCTAACATCTCAAAAATAAAAATGTAAAAAATGTAGTTACCATGTCTTCTGTATAACAACCTCTAGAGGGCAATGAAAGCAAACTTTGAACATCTTTTGAGTGGAACAAAAGAATTGTAAAATTTTTTTCTGATTAAAATCTGGATAGATGATCTTGTATTCAGGATAGTAATAGGACCTGTAGGCTGTAGTTTCTGTGATTACGGGTTTAGCAGTTATAATTACCTCTCCAGTGTGGTATTAAAACCTCAATTATCTGTAATAATAACATCACCTTACATTTTGTACATTATCTCATTTGAACCTCCCACAATACTAGCAGGGAATATATTCTTTTCCCATTTTCCAATGAAAAGCTGAGGTTCACAGGCGTTAAGCTAGTAAGTAGCCATAAGAAAGCAAACTACCAGCACAAACCCCGTATGTACTTATTGACTGCTTACATTTAACAAGCATACAAAATCCCTTGCTATGGGGCAGCCATAGAGTGGGCGCTGTTGGAGGGGATTTCCTTCGCCTGCCTGGGGATGGCTCTATGTCCCCTGTAGGCAGTGGGCATCCTGCTCGGGCTCGGCTGGCCTTTTGTCCCGGTCTTTGAGATGGCGACCGCCAAGCAGGAGCTTATGAGGAATTTCACTTCTGAGGAGATCATTCATCACTATAAGATCTCCGTTGTAGGAACTGGATCGGTTGGCATTACCTGTGCTGTAACCGTTTTATTAGAAGGCTTCAGTGATGAACTTGCCTTTGTGGATGTTGATGAAGGCAAACTGAAGGGTGAGACAATAGACCTCAAACATGGCAGTCCTTTCATGAAAATGCCAAATATCGTTTCCAGCAAAGATTACTTTGTCACTGCAAACTCCAATTTAGTGATTATCACAGCAGATGCATCCCAGGAAAAAGGAGAAACAGGGCTTAATTTAGTACAGCAAAATGTGGCCATCTTAAAATTAATGATTTTCAATATTAACCAATACAGTCCCCTATGCAAACTGATTATTCTTTGCAATCCAGTGGATATCTTATGTAGCCTGGAAATTGAGTGTATTTCCCAAAAACTGTGTTATTGGAAGTGGCTATAATCTAAACACTGCCTGTTTCCGTTTCTTGATTGGGCAAAAGCTTGGTATCCACTCTGAAAGCTGTCATGGGTGCATCCTTGGAGAGCATGGAGACTCAAGTATCCCTGTGTGGAGTGGAGTTAATATTGCTGGTGTCCCTCTGAAGGATCTGAACTTGGATATAGGAACTGATAAGGATCCTGAGCAGTGGAAAACTATCCACAAAGAAATGATTACCAGTGCCTATGAGATTATTAAAATGCAAGGCCATCCTTCTTGGGCCGTTGACCTATCTGTAGCTAATTTAACACAAAGTATTTTGAAGAATCTTGGAAGAGTGCATCTAGCTTCCACCATAATTGAGGACCTGTATGGAATAAATGAAGAAATAATCTTCAGTGTTCTTTGTATCCTGGGAGAGAATAGTATTACAGACTTTATAAAGGTAAGGCTAAACCCTGAAGGGGAGGCCTGTTTAAAAAAGAGTGCAGAAACGCTTAGGGAAATTCAGAAGGAGCTCAAGCTTTCAAGTTGTTTAAAGTTACCATTTGGAAGTTAGTGAAGAAAAGATAGTAGTTATGGGACTGTATATGTTAAACTCTTGAATAAACTTGAAACCCTAAAAGTTGGAAACAGGAAAGTAGGTAGGGTGACTCCACTGGTTGTTTAGCCCTCCAGCTCCTTTATTTAGCATCCAGATGCTGGATGATACTTATTTTTTACAATTTCTGACTGACTGCATCAAAGAAGGTGTTTTTGGTAGCTCTAATGCAGCAGTACTTGTCTTCTATATATGTATGGTTGCCATTTCATGTGAAAGAATGTATGATGTGGGCGTTTATTGCGTTATTGAAATTCTTACTCTAAGCTGCCAAAAAATTTTTTTTAATCTGATTCTTTAAGTACGTACTAATTATTTTGTTCTGGCTGGCTTAGACCTATGTTCATTTATATGCTATAAAAAAAATTGTAACTACCTCTATAATGAGAAAATAAAAGTATATACACACAGAAAACTAAAAGTGGATCTGGATCCTGACTCTGGACTTAAAATTGTAAACTTGGGCACTTTACTTCTCAGTGCCTCAATTTCCTCACTGATAAAATTATGACTGTGTCCACTTATTAGGGCTGTTAGGGGACAGAATCAAAATAATGCATGTATGTTTAGTGTGACATTTGGCACATGGAAGGATTTGATAAATGCAGGCTGGTTTTTTTTGTTTTGTTGTTAAAGCATTTGCAAGGCCTTTTTGCAGACATGAATGTAGACTTGTTTGTGTTGCCCCAGAAAATGTATCAGAACCAAAAGAGGCACCAGCTACAAAAGCAAGAGTTTGTGAATCTGACAGGTTTGGTTTCGAATCCTGTTTCTATCACATAATGCCTCAGTGATCTTGAACAAGCCTCACTGAGTCTCCTTTTTCTCCTGTTACTGAGCATTGACTGCGCTGTTCACCGTGCTAAGTACAGCGGGTAGGGTGATAGGGTTTTGTTTCGCTCCATTGTAGTTACTCAAGCAGAGGCCAGCTGACCATCCACAGGGATTTAGGGGGCTTTGGAGAAAGTATTCCTGCAAAGGATGGAATTTTTTATTAAATCTCAAAGGTTCCTATTGAGAGTATTTGTTTCTACTCTTGAAAAATTTGGAAATAAAATTTGTTCTCACATTCTAGTTGTGTTTATCTGGTGCATCAAAAGTTGGTCCTCAAGTGGACTTTCATTCAGAATTATTTCCCGTGGAATAGAATTTGGCCTTTGAGGTTGACTAGATTACTTTATTTCCCAAAGAGAGAAAAGAAGGAAAAATGGTGGCTTTGGAACCAAAGAGAGGTTTGAACCCTTTTCTACTGCTAACTAGCTGTGAGACCTTTAGACAAGTTCTTAGCCTCCTTGAACTGTCTTCTTATCTATCAAGTACAGCTGACTCCTTCCTCAAAGGATTGTTGTGGGGCTTAAATGTGCCAGTGTGTATAGGACACCCACCATGGTCCCTGACACAAAGTAGGTAGTAGGTGGTCCTGCCTTCTTTGGCAGTGCCACAGCGCTCTCAATGTTTGCAGCTCTGTGAGCAAGCCTCAAACTCGAAAAGCAGTAGGCACTGGCCTTCTGGTGACAGTCTCATCTCCTCAACCCAGTGACATTGCTCCTGCCAGGTGAAAGCTGACCCCTGGCACATTTTCTATACTTTTGGTCTGTGAACTCACCCTCCTCACACTCAGTGTGTACCTAGGATTCTAGTGTCCTCATGCTCTTTCTGTCCTCACTCACTGAAGGCCTATTTCTTGAAAGAAATCAGATGCAGCAGTCCACACTGAGGTTGAGTGTGAGGAAAAAGGCAAAGTATTGTTGCAACTATATCAAGATTTTAATACTATAACAAGCTTAAAACCGAAGCAATGAATCTCAAATGGTAGAATTATAGGATTCCCAATAGCCCATAGGAGGAAAGAATTGCAGAAACAATGGAGTGGAGTTCTTCATAGCATGAGTGCATTTTTACATTTCAGAGGTGACTGCGTAATGCTGTGATATCCCTGTTGGCAAAACCAAGTCTTGTTTTTATTGATTCCAGTACATGTCACAGCCTCTGGCAAATTGTAGGCATTCAATAAATGTAGACTAGATGGTCTTGAGGCCATGTCAGATGTACAGATATGTTTCTTAGCACACCCTTTACTGCTAAACACAGACACACACCATTTACAAACCACATAGAAGAAGGGAGTTGAAAGAAATAGAAATACTTTTCTTTGTTTTAGTGTTGAGGATGGAGGAGATAAATGCTCTGTACTTACTAGGAAGACTTTCATAGAAGAAGTAGGATTTGAATAGGGCTTCCCAAGGCAAAGGTGGTAGTGTGATATGTGATTATCAAGAAGACAGTGTATTCCCAGCCCAGGAGACAGCACAGATGGAAGTTCAAAAGCTACTAGTAAAGGATGCTGATGACAACACTAGAAGTACTTTGAATAGCTGGTTTTGGAAAACTGTACTCTAACGTACATTTTCCTGTCTTCGTTTTAGTTACCTTTGAACATTTTAAACACTTCTTCTCCCACATACCCTCTCACACTTCTCCTACGCACTCCCAATCCTCCGTCTCTCCCACATTTATAGCCAAAAAAAAAAAAAAAATGGGTCTCTCTCTTTCTCTCTGTTATGCTAATTTTCTCTAATCTTTTGCTTAGTAATGTGTCACAGTCAGAACGAGTTTCAGCTCATTAGTTAACAATCTTAGTCCTTCTCTTAAAATAGTCAAAGATTTGCTTTTTTCTTTAATAGTCAATAATAAATATGGATTTTAATGTCCCTTCTCTCATTGCCTGAGGCTGAAATTTTCACAATATCAAACTAAAATTTGAACCTTCTGAAACTACTCTGGAAAAAAGAACTAGGCAGATTTATTTTACCATTTCTTCCTTAATCTAAAAAGCAAATGACATGAATTTTACTCATTAAGCATTTTTTAACCAAGAAATAATCCCCCCAAAATTATTTTTTAAATTTTACATGCCATTCACATTAAAAAGTACAAAATTGAAATTTCCTTTTAGTGGTATCAATGGTGGTCTTAGGTTGAACCATATGAAATTGCCACTTTGGTACGTCAACTCAAATATTGGCTATTTTGTATGGTTCAAACTAATATGGATTCATATCTAGTGCTCATAGAATCCTCATAGATGTCTCAGTCCTAGAACTCTTGAATAGAGATTACAGCCATTTTCCAACTTCCTACAATAACAGCAACAGCCACCATGCGTTGAGTAGGTTTTTATATGCATCATCTTATTCAGTCTTCAATATAACTTTCCAACTCTTTTGAAGTAGATATTGCTATCATCACCTCTTAGATTTGAAAATGGAGTCTCGGAGCAGGTAACTTGCCCAGGATCACACAGTGGATGAGAGGCAGTGCCAAAATTCCAAAGCTGAATCTGCTGGACAGAAACCCACATTCTTTCTCTTCTATTACAATGCCCCCACTGGCTAAAAAAAAAAGAAAGAAAGAAAGAGAAAAAGAGAAACAATTCTCCAAAATGAAATACCGATTATTATCAGCACTTAGTAGTATGGATATGTATTGAGTTCTTTGCGTAGAAACTTTGACTTTCTACAGCTAGGCCTTTGAGATGAAATACTATAACGCAGGAGATCCTCTTGTAGACTCTAAGCTCCTCAAGAACAGAGGCTGTGTCTAAATAATCTTGGCATCCTTGGGACATGGCATAGGACCTAAGACATAGTAAGTCCTAAATAAATGCTTCTAGAATGAATGTTTGAATGAGTAAATAAACGAATGACTTTTACAATGGAGGGAGGCAGAATAGGTATATAGCTCTTTGCAGACTTAAATATCTGACAGTATGTATGTATTTTTTAACCACATAATTGGATCACAGAATCATAACTCTGATGAGACCTCATAGACTCCCTTGCACAATATGTATTTGTTTGTTTGTCTAATAAATAAACTAAAGCACAAAATTCCAAAGCTAATTAGTGACAAAAGCTAGAGCCACATCCACAAAACATGTTTGAAACTATGCCTATCCCTGGATTTTGCCACCTTTTGGAACATAAAAGTGCTAATATAAAAGAATGAATTATCTTAATTTCTTTATATTTTGATACCTAGGAGATATATATATATATATATGCATGTGAATATACATATACACACATATAGATAATTGCAGAACAATTTACTTTCTTTAAGGAAATATTAAAGTTAATTGTTTTTATTACACCCAGCAATTGATAAAGATCAACATTAGCCTGGAATTCCTAGATGGCAGAAAGCCAAATACAAGATTTTTGCTTTCAGAATCCCACCCATTTACTAATCCTTAGGTGGATTAGTGCTCCAGAAAGCAAACTTACATGGCCAGACATGCACAAGCCAGCAAAGAAGAAAAAAATGAATTTTGATACATACAACAGATACTTTTGCATATGTTATACAGAAAAACACATTGTACGATTACACATGCTTTTTCTTAGTAATTTATGCCTTTTATGCACATTTATTTTGTCTCCTACTCATTGAAAAAGTCACATCTATGTTTTTCCTGGTTTACCTGACTCTTTCATTATAACTGAGAGAAGCAATATTTAGAACTGATGCATTCTCTGCAAATGAGTGGTTTGCATACGTAATCATCTATTATCTAATATAATATTCATGATTCTCAATCAGTCATTTCACGTCTCCAATGTGATTTTTCCCTTAAGTGCTTCTACAACCCCATATTTTGTATCTGAGTTACATACTAGAATTATATCAATGCAATGATGTTCTCATCCTTTTAAGGGGGAATGCATTGTTGGCAAAGGATGGGTAAGAAATGGAGGTTACCAGAAAGGTGCTATAAACCTTGAGCTATGCATATACCCAAATGCCCAAAGTTAAGCTGTCGTTGACTGACTGGTACTATGAAAGGCACAAGGGATAGAAGTGGAGTCAAACTTGGAGTCTAGAACATTCAGCTTATGCTGCCAATGTTAAGAAGGAACTTGAGTATAGAAGCAAAGAATATCCAGTAAGGAAAGGATAGTCTCTTCAATCAATGGTGTTGAGAAAATTGGTTAGCCACATGCAAAAGAATGAAAGTTGCCCACTAACTTACACCGTACACAAAAAATTAACACAAAATGGATTAAAGACTTGAACATAAGACCTGAAACATAAAACTCCTAGAAGAAAACATGAGCAGTAAGCTCCTTGAGATAGATCTTGGCAATGATTTTTTTAATCTGACACCAAAAGCAAAAATAAATATGTGCTATTACATCAAACTAAAAAGTGTGCACAGCAAAAGAAACCATCAACAAAATGGAAAGGCAACCTACTGAATGGGAGAAAATAATTGTAAATGATATATCTTATAAGGGGTTATTACCAAAATATATTTTTAAAAAACTCGTATAGTTCAATAGTAAAAAAAAACAAACAATCTGATTTAAAAATGGGCAGAAGATCTGAATAGACATTTTTCCAAAGAAGAAGATGGCCACCAGGTACATGAAAAGATGCCTAACATCATTCATCAGGGAAGTGCAAATCAAAACCACAATGAGAGATCACCTCACACCTGTGAGAATGACTGTTACCAAAAATAAATAACAAGTGTTGGCAAAGATGTGGAGAAAAAGGAACCCTTGTGTACTGTTGGTGGAGTGTAAATTCATGCAACCTCCAGGGAAAACAATATGGAGTTTCCTCAAAAAAATTAAAAATAGGGCTACCATATGATCCAGGAATTCTACTTCTGGGTATTTGTCTGAAGAAAATGAAAACACTATTTCAAAAACATATTGCACCCCACATTCATTACAGCATTATTATCATAACCAAGATATGGAAATAACCTAAGTGTCCACCATTGATGGATGAATGAATAAAGAAATTGTCGTATACATACAAAATAGAATAGTATTCAGCCATAAGAAAGAGTGAAATCTTGCCATTTGCAACATGGATAGACCTCAAGGGCATTATGCTAAGTGAAATAAGTCAGACAGAGAAGCACAAATACCATATGATCTCTCTTATATGTAGACTCTAAAAAACAAAAGTTTGTAAATTGGTGGTTGCAAGAGGTAGGGAGTAGGGGTGGGAGAAATGGGTGAACCGTTTTTGTTTGTTTAAATAAACCGATTAAATTTTTAAAAAATACTCTTGGCACTTTGGCCACCACTCACAGACAGGCATAGAGCAGTGAAAATTTTGAGTTATCCAAGGCATGTGTCCCCAGCTGAGGTTGAACAGGGCAATACTCTGCCTTCTTGTTTCAACTGTCATACTGTAAACAAGAGTCCTTTTTGCAATCTATTTAGTGCCATATGCTTTGCATTTTTTGTGCTTTTCGTTGGTGATTTTGCTGTTTAAATGCCCTCCTGTGAAGTGCTGAAGTGCTCTCTGGCGTTCCTAAGCACAAGACTGTGGTGTGTCTTACAGAGAAAACACGTGTGTTAGATAAGCTTCATTCAGGCATGAGTTACAGTACTGTTGGCTGTGAGTTCAACATTAACGACTCAACAACAACATAAAAATGGAGGTTGAACATTCCATCAGTTCCTTGATATACAGCAGGACTCTACATTAGACAGGAACAAGCGGCTTTAAAAAAAAAAATGTTTTACAGCAGCTCCAAGGCCCTATAAATCCTAGGGAGATTCCCCGGGAACCTGATCTAGAAAAACCCTTCCTTAAGGCTTGTCTGTGACTTAGGGTCACAGAGCATTAAATATAAACAAGACAACCTAAGACAGCATTTCAACGTACAAGCAGAGATAGTTTTGTTGTTTTCGTTCGAGAGCAAGCTTCTCTGGTTTGCCTGTATTTGACAGCTAACCCGATGTTTTAGTTGTATTAATGGTGAAATGAGAAGACTTTTTATTTTTTATTAGCATAATTATAGGGCTCTCACCAGCAAGTCAGTTTGAGCTTCAAATGGGCAGTGCAATTCCAGAAACTCCGCGTTAGGTGGTAAACACATTAAGTCCCAGGCTGCCCTCCCAACAGAGCAGGAGAAATCAACCAGAGAAGAGAAAAAAAGGATGTAGCAAGAAAGTCGAGGTAGATCGGTCAGAGGGAGGGGGTAGGAGAAAGGCCAGGGAGTTCAGCAGCAGGAGGAGGGAATAGAGACAGCCACAGAGGAAAGGTAAGGAAGGGGCAAGCAAAAGGAATGTAGTCCCAGAGGCAGTTGCAGAGAGATCAAGAGAGGATCACAGAGGTAAGACCCTGAGGGGAGGAGGGAGGCAAAAGAGGAGAGGGGAGAGCGGAACTGGCGTCCTGAGAATCAAGGGACCCCACCTCTGCAGGGCAGTGTATGTGGTAACTTTTCCAGGTGGCTAGGTGTTTGGCAAAAGAGAAAACTGCAGTAGGAAGCTACAAACAGTACTAAATAGTAAAGAGAAAAGATAGAGGAAGGGGATTTTAAAGAATCCAGAATTACAAGTGTGGGTTCCACGGAACTCCCAGTGCCAAGAACGGCAAGGGCTAGTGGTGTCTATTTTATTCTGATGCTGGCAACTGTCAGGGCAGTGGCTGGAGTTTGGCAGTTCCAGGTCCAGGTTTGAGAAGCTTCCAAGGCTGCTTCTCCTTCCCCTGCCCCTGCACTTATTGACTTAATGTTGGTCAGTCTGACAAGATGTGGCAGAGCCTGCAGCCGGCCGGTCAGTGCCTGCAGCCAGCCTTTCATGGAATTGGCCCCAGTGTAGAGTGAAGCACAGTTCAAGAAGCGAGCTGGGCGGGGAGCACTGAATTTGGCCACAGGAATATAAAATTTGACGTTGATTAAGATGCTCAGGGGGATTGTTGAGCTCTCGGCAATGGCCGAAGTGGCGGAGCTGCTGAGGGGGCTGGCCCTTGCGCTGACTGATTGGAGCTGAAGGGAGTAGCCCCTAGAGATCAGGGCTGCGACAACATGCCTGAAGGGGGCTGTTTGTGGAGCTGGAAAGGGAACATGACAGGCACTAGGAGCGAGGCTGCTGTTAAAAGACGTCCTTTTGTGATATCATGGTGAAGAGGATGTGTGTGTGTGTCAGGGGCAGGGGTTGTGCGGGTGGATTGAGCAGCACCCTGGCAGAGGTGGCTGCCAGAGAACCAGTGTCACTGCAGACCTGGAGGCAGCCAGTCTTGTAGGAGAAGAGGGCAGCGTAGTGTAGGGGAGAAGACAGTCTGAGTATCACAGAGACAGGAGCTCTGATGCCAGCTCTGCTGTTTTGGAAGCTTTTAACCTCTCTGTGCCTCAGTTTCTTCATGGTAAAAGTTGACCTCAGCAAAGCACTTCAGAGGATTAGCAATAACAAGCCCAACATAGTACCCTCTTGCTCAGTATTCAGTCACTAGTATTATTTTTATAGTAACCTCCTTCCTTTCATATTTAAATTTCTGGTCACAGACAATTTGCGAAAAGCCAATTTTACTGAATTTATTCTCTCTTTATTCCTTTTCTCTTTTCTTTTCTGCTCTTCCCATTGTTTACTGAGCATTTATTTTGTGCTAGGAATTGAACCCTGGCAGTGGAACCTGATTTATTGATGTCTTTCCTCTAGCTAAGGGAGTGTGACTTTTCAGCTCTGTTCACATCCAGCGCTCCAGCAACTAACCATAGAAACTCAGTCTTCACTGGGGAGTTGTTTTCTGTAGGGACCAGCTTTCTGTGCACTAAATTGAGAGGGCTGGAAGGAGGGAATTGGTTAGTAATTAGAAAAGATTTAAATAACTGAAAATACTTCCCTGACTATGTAAATGGAAATTTTTCTGATGCTTACAATATTCACCTGGAATTGATGGTAAAAGATTGCACACAGCTTTGGCTGCTTTTGTGACGTTCTGGTATATGCTTGAAAGAACAAAGGAAGTGATGAAGGAGATGCAGTTCCAGAGGATGGCCATTCTTCCTCACTCTTTTGATTTTATGGAGTTTGTCTTTTCAGAAGAGTTTTTTAACTGATTCTGTTGCTTCTTCTGGTTCTCCCAATGGCCAGAAAGAAACTTTTTATGAAATCATTGACTTTTAGAGTTAAGGTTGTATGTTGTGTAGTCTGGCTAGCACTTTCCAAAAGAGGCCACATTCAAGATGGCAGCTCCAGCATAGAAAACCCCATTCTTTATTTGTTATTTATTTTTAAATTATTTTATTGAAGTCATACTGGTTTATAACATTGTGTAAATTTCGTGTTTATGTTATTATATTTCAGCTTCTGTATAGACTGCATCATGGTCACCATTAACAGTCTAGTTTTTATCCATCAACATACATATGTGCCCTTTTACCCCTTTCGCCCTCCCCCCACCTTTTTACCCTCTGGTAACCACCAATCTGTTCTCCTTATCTCTGCCTTTGTATATATTCCACATATGAGTGAAATCATACAGGAACCCCGCCCTTTAGAGCAGCCAATTGCCTCCTTTTCAGGGTCCTGCATATCTCCTCCATTATTTCTCCTCTCATCACTTTCTTTTCTAATTTGTCTTCTTTTCATTTTTAGCCACTAGAATTGGCCACTGAATCCTTGGTCAGCTGATTAATAATGCTTTTTTAGAGGAATAGGAGTCTTTGTGAACCTTTAGGCCTCTTCAGAGTAGAGGAAGAGATTCATCAGGCACACGTAATTGCAATCACCCTCAATAATAGTTTATGAGGGAGGGAATTTGTGCCACATCCTAAGAATACAAGAGGACTAAACCAATGGCTGGGACTGCCCTCATGAGACTTACAGTCTAGTTGGTGACATTTATTCATAAAAAAGTAAAGCAAATTACACAACACTGTGTCATATGGTCTACTTTTAAAAACAATATATATGCAGTTAAATGCTTTTGCACCTATTCATTCACTTACATGTATCAGTTACTATTCTAGACATCAGGAATATAGCTGGGGATATTACTTATATATGTGTGGAGAAATGTATAAGAAGTTATGTATTCAACTTATTATCAGTGGTTACCTGAAGCTTAGAGTAGAAAGAAGGAGATATTCCATTTACTTGCTGTTCTTCTCTATAGTTTTAATTATTTAAAATTAGCTTGAATTACTCCTATACCTTAAGGTATATAATTATTTATATACCTTAAAAAATAATGATAAAGCACTAAAGGA